GCCCCAGCAGATGATTTGGGTTTGTTATTGATATTCTTCTTTACTTAGTTTTCAAGATTTTAAGAGATAATATGTAGTATAATGTTATATGTCAGTAATATCTCAATTTAAAAAAAAGAGATAATATATATTGTCATATAACTAGTTCTTAAGACAATGTTTTAATACTAAGAGTCACAATTTAATGTGGTTAGAGACCACATTTAAAGTAAAATGGAATTTCAAAGTAAAATGATCATTCATTTAAAATTTCCCTCTTGATTCTATACCAGACAAAAGAAAGGCAACACAGTGGGGGAGGCAACAGAGTTTATGCCTCAGGAGCTGGAAAGCCCCAAACCTTCTAGAGTCCAAAATATGAAGGAAAAGCCAAAGCTGTTTAGTCTCCTAAGAACACTTTTGTGTATTCAGATATTAAAGAGAATTTTAAAATGAAAATAGTTGAATAGATTGCAGCTGTATCAGTCTAGGTAAGCAATTATAAAAATTTTTTATTTCTTTGTAAGTGAGATTTTCTCATTTAATTTAATACTGGAAATTTAAGTACAAGAGCTTTGATAAAACAGATGAAAATGGTCTGTGTATATGGAAAGAAAGAAATCTAATTAAAATTGATTTTTAAATTTTCTCCATGTTTTGGAGTTATTTGATTCAGATGCTGGTACCAGAAAAAATCAAACCATTTTTGCAGCTTCTTAACATACTAAAAAATCTGCCAAGATGTTGAAAGAAATTTTAAGAAAATACAAGTCAAGAACATTGTGTATGATATGATCCCCTTTTTTGTTAAAAAAAAAAAAAACCACCACACAGGTGGGAAAATGCTTAATATATAAATGGAAAAAAGTCTTAAATGGTAAATGCCAAATTGGGTAAGAGTACTGGGAGTTTCTACATCTTTGTAGTATTTGATTTGTTTGTTCATTTTACAATGAAGACATAGTACTTTTTTCACTTAAAGAAGCATTTATTCCATCCTTCCCTCAGACAGAGAGAGATCTTTCTTACTTGTGTGTGTTTTTTTTAAAGTTATATATATATATATAATTTATTTATTTTTGGCTACGTTGGGTCTTTGTTGCTGCGCGCAGGCTTTCTCTAGTTGCGGTGAGCAGGGACTACTCTTCATTGCGGTGCGCAGGGACTACTCTTCATTGCGGTGCGTGGGCTTCTCATTGCGGTAGCTTCTCTTGTTGCGGAGCACGGGCTCTACGCACATGGGCTTCAGTAGTTTGTGGCACAAGGGCTCAGTAGTTGTGGCTCACGGGCTCTAGAGCGCAGGCTCAGTAGTTGTGGCGCACGGGCTTAGTTGCTCTGAGGCATGTGGGATCTTCCTGGGTCAGGGCTTGAACCCGTGTCCCCCGCATTGGCAGGCAGATTCTTAACCACTGCGCCACCACGGAAGGCCTTACTTTTTTTTTTTTTTTAAAGTAGATTTAGAGCAGTGTTGTCAGTTTCTTTGACTATTCCAGTGTCTCATAACTATTTCCCTGATGCTGCTCTTTTAAGCCAAGTTTCTCAGTAGAAAGCTCACCATCATGTACATGAAAGTGCATGCTTAATAATAATAGCTGTTATTTATTCGAGCAATCATTATGTCCCAGATCATCTTCTAAGCACTTAATATGTATTAACCCATGTAATTTTTAATAACCCTATTAGCAGCTGCAGTTTACAAATGGAGAAATAAAGCATAGCGTTTAAGAAACTTTCCTAACTTGCAGACTGTATGCACATACGCTTCATATAAAGAATCCTCCCTGCACTTGAGAAATACTCTTAACATCCTTATGTTCCCTCTCAATTTTCTCTTCTCAAAGCAAGATTATCCCAGTTCCACTCTTTCATTTAGGAAATATCACTTGAAGATATGCTGTGTTTCTATGTTAGGGAGGAACACATAATGCCTAATTTGTTCCTGTAAAGGGCTTACAATCTATTTAGAGAAATAGGACCCATAAGCTGATCATGGATAAAGACGTGGCACATCCTGTACTAGTCCATGACTAGGCTTCGGTGACTGTGGTTGCAGAGGTCAAGGTAGACTCTGTGGGAAGTAGGGCTCCATATGGAGGATGGGGAGGCTCTGGGGAGGCCAGTGATGAGAACACCTTCCTCCACAACACAGCTGCCAATCCCGTTTCAGCAAAGGAAGATTAGAAAGTTATTCCTCCATAGCTGCTTCTCAGATGTGACCAGATATTAATGATTGAGTTGCTACAAAATAGAGCCATTTTCTCATAGTCGATTTCTTTCTGAAATAGAAAAAGACCAGAGGTTGGAGAATATTCATTCTTTTCCCAAAGTCATTTTTGTTTTGAATTTAAAAAAAGGAAAACGTGACCCGTAACTTTTTTTTCCTGAATGTGTCCTCAGGGATTTTAAAAGTTTGGTTACATATGTTTTAAGGGAAGAGGCAGGGAAAACATAGTATAGGAGCTAAGATACATAGATGTGTGCTTGGGGCCAGTGAATAAACTAATGTGAGCAGAGGATTCTAGAGCGGGAGTCGTCAAACTTTTTCTGCCTGGGGTGAGATAGTAAATATTTTAGGCTTCTTGGGCCACATTCGGCCTCTGTTGCAACTATTCAACTCTGCTGTTGTCATATGAAAGCAGCCACAGAGGATACGGAAAGGAATGTTCATGGCTGTGTTCCAGTAAAACTGTATTTACAAAAACAGGTAGCCGGCCATGGTTTGCCAGCCTCCTCTGGAGGAAAAAGTTAGAAAGAAAGGTGGTGCCTTTAACACCAGACTAAGAAGCTTTTATTTCCTTTGAAATAAAATGATTTCAAAGCCTTATCATTTTTTATTGCCCTGGAGACCCCAGTTCATGTGATAACATGCCCCCTTTTTGTTATCAGATTCCATCCAAGCTACCAAAAAAATGTACCAAGGAAGCTAAGCTGTTTCCTCAGGCAGGGGCTGGAAAACAATGCAGTAAGTTTTGCTCTCCAATACCTAAGAACTTGCATTTGGGAGTCTTATGTTCGTTGAGCTATGGAAAGAGCAGTTTGTTCTTAGGATTATGATACTAATAAGGGTAGGTTCTGCTCTGAGGGAGGGCGGGACAAACTACGGGGCATGACCTGGGGGAAATATGTGCAAACCCACATGACTGGTTAACCCATTCGTGAGACCCATGCCTTGTAGATTTCATCATAAACCTAAGAAACATTGGCAGACTAGTCTGTCAGGGGATAATTCTGCCCAAACATACACAGTAACATTTTGAATGCTGCTGAGAATTCAAAGTCAATAGGGTCACCAGGTTTAGCAAATAAAAATCCAGGGCACCCAGTTAAAATAGTTCAGATAAGCAACGAAAAATATTTTAGTAAAACTATATCCAGTTCAATATTTGGGACATACTTAGGCTAAAAAATTATTTGTTGTTTATCTGAAATTGAAACTTAACTGAGCATATTCTGTTTTATCTGGCAATCCCCAAACTGAGGATAGATGATTAAATAGTTTTTTACCCTGTCTATTGCATCATTATGTCAGTTGATTAGTAATCCTTCACCAAGGATTTCTTTTTTTTCATGGCGGGAGTCTAATGACAGTCGAATCCCCTTAATTCCGACCTCACTGACATAGAATTTTGATTATTGATGCAAGGGCTGTGCTAAAGTGCACCTTTTTCTCTTCATGAATTTACTAGGCCTGTTTATCATTGATAGTACAAACAAAACTGAAAGAGAACGATTTATCTCCTTGGGAGACTACAAATAGTATAATTACAGTGTAATCAGAGGCTATCGTTATTTAGACTGTGCTTTTCATTTAATAATTACAGATCATTCTGTCATTCATTAGAGCAAGACAGCACTTTTCCAGGCAGACTCAGGTTGCAGCCACCTCGGTCCCCATGGCCCGCTTTGGGTCCCACCTGTCCCCAGTACCTGTCTCCTGGTTTTGTGTTTGTCTTGTTCACCATGCTTTCTAGATCCTCACGTGACGCTCACTACTTGAAGGCACCCTGTAAATGTCTGTTAGTTGAATTAATGAATGAGTGTTATCTGCACATGTTAAAATAATCAAACAGTCTTTGTTGCTAAACATCTTACTTTTTAATTGTAAAAAATAATTTGAGCTGGTCTTTCCCCTCATTCCAGATTTCAGTTCATGAAGGGAATTTTTGGATAAAGTTAGTTTCATTGCATAATGGCCTTTGCGAGGCTGACACTGAAAACATGTATTGAAATTCCAGAAGTGTTTTATGAGGAGAGAAAAAGGTTCTTGTAAAATCACCATGAGCACCCTTGTGAGCTTTCTTCTGTTCTAGGACGACGGGTCTCAGACTTTATCAGGCTGCTAATGATATTAACAAGGTTTAGCGGGCCATCTTCCTTACTTGCCCCTATTTCCCTTGATCGCACGCACACACAAGTAAATCCCCATATATCTTCCAAAGAGATGGACGGGGATACTTTTGACTGGATACCAGTTATGGTTGTCACCGATAAATAATGCATTAATGGCTTAAGACAGATAGGCAGACATCTACACGTTCTAAACCACATTTGTATTACTAGAGACCACTATATACAAGCCATCTGAAAGACCCTTGAGAACTCTCAGTGAATTCTGGACCACTCTTGAGGGAAATTAAGCATGAGTGGTTTATGTGTGGAAAGGGTGGTTTATGTGTGGAAAGGGTAACACCAGAATTTCTATTGTCCGGTATTGGTTGGCATCTGGCCTTGGAAACATACTTAGATGAGGCTTGTTCTTTTCCACCTGTGGCTTCTTCTGTATTTCCTCCAGTAGAGAAATTGGATTAATAGGAACCAGGAGATTAGGAATTAAATCTCCCTCTCAGTATCTAATCCTACCCACATCTTGGGAGTATTTTTCCTAGCAATCTCGGAGAATTCAGGAGGCTGTACTGAATACAGGCCAGCATCGGAACAGAGCTGGGTGTGGTGTGATCCTTTCTGTTAAGAGAGTTGAGTCACTGTCTGACTCTTCTCTTTTGTTCTGCCTTCTCTCACAGCACCCTGGAGGGATATTATGTGGATGATGCCCTGCAGGGCCAGGGAGTTTACACTTATGAGGATGGAGGAGTTCTCCAGGGCACATATGTAGACGGAGAGCTGAATGGACCGGCCCAGGAGTACGACACAGATGGAAGACTGATCTTCAAGGGACAATATAAAGATAACATTCGGCATGGAGTGTGCTGGATATATTACCCAGTAAGCCTCACGACTGTTCATTTTGCTGGAAAGTAACGAGTTTTAAGACAATGCTTCGAGTCTTCCCAATGAATAACAAAATGTATTCTGTATCTTAGGAAATGTGAGGCTGTGAAACTTGAGAGTCGGTAGCTGAAGCCAACAGCTTAGGGGGATATCCTCTCACTGTTTCACTATTGACTTAGATTGTTGTGCTCCGATCTACTATGAATTCCTCCTCAGGGTGGCTTTGGAAGGGAATGATTAGTCATGATGAAAACAAACTGGGACAAACTGGTTTGATTGTACCACTAACAAAGACAAAAATATATTGCTTTTTAGAAATATTCCTTTGGGATATAGAAAGAGATGGTGGAATGTCTCGTTGTTGCAATTAATGTTATTCTTTCTCATATGTAAGAACTAATCCAGCAATTTCCCATCTTTTTGGACTTACTACACTATTGTTACTTGATTTTACAATCCTACTCCCTGCTTTCTGGTTTATCTTGCTTAAATCAAGGTGATTAAAATTAACTTGCCTTTGAGTATTTAATAACATTTTATGATCTTTCTGGAGCTGACTAGAGCAGAAAAATGTGGCAAAACCCATGGCTGGGAATTAATGCTGTAATTTTTGTTTGCATTTCAAATACATCATCTGTTTATAGTGAATTTCCAGAAAATGTTTCAGAAAATAAACCTGAGGAAATATTTTATCTAATATTTTATTTTGTCCAGAGCTTAAGTCAAAATACGGTTTTTTTCCTTACTCTTAACCGTATCCTCTTAATGATTTAAAAGTATTAATAAAAACATATATAACAAGAAGAGTAGTCCCAGCTAAATCTATTTACACGTTATTGTTCCTAAAAAATAAGTTATACTCTAGGCATAAGAAAAAATATTGTAAAACATTTTAAAAAATAATTACGAAAGCATTTACACATTCTCTCGGTAGGATCTGCAGTAGCTCACAAGTCCTTTCAGTTACAGAGGGAGAAGAGATGGAGGTACTTACCAGTTAGGAAGCCTGAAACTTTCATTGCTTCATCAGTAGGCAGGATAAGCTTCCTGCTGCCCAGTGCTGGGGAGCTGCTGATATGACAGTGAACCTTGAAGCCTGGGAATGTGGAGTTCCTCAGGAGGGTGGGTCTAGGAAAGAGGTAATGGATTACGGGATTCTCCCACTACCTGTCATTTTACTTGTGACTATGATCAATTTAAGTCCCTAGAGGAGATCAACGATGAACTGAGGTGAATGGATCCGATTGGCTCAATGTAGTTGCATTTTGAAACCTAGAATGCGCAGCTGCCTTTTAGCCTTCCGCCTTAATCACTGTCTTTTAAAGCACCGAGAGAAGACTCTGCCTTAGGAAGGAAGAAGCACTAGGGAGTTACAGGCTTTAAAAATCAACTTGGTTGATAACACTTTGTATATAGTATCTGTTGGCATTTGGGGTTGGGGCTGGGGGAGGCTGGTAATCACACCCCACTGCTCTGCTCTCTGGACTGAGAATCAAGAAATAGACGTAGGTATCAGGGATCAGGATGTTGGTTTCATTGTGGCGGAGTTGGACTGGAGATGTGGCCTGGGCTTCTACTCTTGCCCCTCTGAACTAAACGGATGGGCCAGCTGCCCACAGAGCAGCTAGAAAGCTGCAGGTTTCCCTGGGGGAGTAGGGCTGGCTGGGGGAGCTTCCCCAGGGAGAGGAGAGGAATGAGAGGGGAGCAGGTGCAGCCTGTGGGCACTGCCAGTTCCCAGGACAGGTGAGCGAAAGTGCAGAACACATGAGAGCAGCAGCGTTATGCTGTTAACCCCTACCCAGTAGAGTTGGGTATCAGTGGGTGTCAGATCCTGCTTTCTCACTAATCAAGTGAACGATTTCTCCTCCCAGGAGGGGGAGCCACTGAGCAGAGGAGAAAAAGGAACAGTTTCTTCCCCAGCACCCCTGACACGGCCAAGAAGGAAGTGTTTGTGACATGACATCAAAGCAGGAACAAGGGGAGGCAAAAATAATGATCCTCCCTACAGGATTTGTAAGCTCACCCTAAGGACAGTTTATTTCTTTCAAAATTTGACCTTGAAACAGTGATGGAAAGTTGTTAATTAAAAACTCATAACTCCGGGCTTCCCTGGTGCTGCAGTGGTTGAGAGTCCGCCTGCCGATGCAGGGGACACGGGTTCGCGCCCCGGTCCGGGAAGATCCCACATGCCGCGGAGCGGCTGGACCCGTGAGCCATGGCCGCTGAGCCTGCGCGCCCGGAGCCTGTGCTCCGCAACGGGAGAGGTCGCAACAGTGAGAGGCCCGCGTACCGCAAAAAAAAAACAAAACCCAAAACCTCATAACTCCTTTTGGAAAAAAAAGAAGAATCTCTGCTTTATCATTCTAGACAAATAAAATCATTTGCCCCCAAAACTGGAAGTTTAAAGCACATAAGGGGGAAGAAAAACGTGAGACCCTAGAAAGACAGAATCCTGTTCTGAAGAAATAGTCATGTTGATGGCTTATATTAGTTACGGCATATAAGAAGCATAAATACTCTAACACCATTCAGCTCAGTCACTGAAAGCCTGAAGGCAGATCTTGCAAAAAGTATCATCCCCGTTCGGGCTGGGTTGTTAAGAATTAACTCGGGGAGGAGGAAGAACAATGATACGTCGCTAATGCACTTTATCCGTGAAAAATGCTTCCAAGTATTTTTCTTTCTATGGAAGTGCTGTGATTCATTTTTTAATTGATAACCTTTTTTCTCCAAAGAGCAATTGGACTACGATGAACTGTAGAAATCCTGTACCTGGTGGTATTTCTTCCTGCTGTCTCTCTGTAAATAGCATTTGGAATCACTTAAAAGTCATCCCACGTCACTGACTTTCAGTAGCTGCTTCTAGAACCTTTCAGTTGGGGGAATATCCAAGCTTTTAGAAGATGTCATGGGCTTACTAGTCTTGTGTCAGACTCCACGAAGGTCTTAGATTTTTAGTTATACCATAAGGACCTTCTGCATGGGGAAAAAAAAAAAGGAAACATCTCTTGCACCCTAGATTTTTAAAAATTATTTATTGCTTTTAGTATCCCAATTCAGTTTTTAAAATATTTATATCACCTACTGTATCCCTAGCACTGGTACTAGGATACAGAATTCTCTGATAGCCTCTGCCCTAAAGCATTTAATGACCGTTTGGAATGAAGCAAATGACAGTTAAAGAGGAAGCACAGCTGACTCCTCTCCTGGAAGGAGGGAGAAGGGAGAAGTTAATAAAGACGAGTGGGAAGAAAGAAGCGATGGGGAAGGGCGTAGAATTTAGTTGATCTTTTTTCACTTTTCCTTCTAACTCCAAAAAAAGTGATGGTATAGAATTCTCAGAAAGGCAGTGTCCACAAGTCCTTTTGTTTATCCCTTAGAAAGTGCAGATGACTCTCATTACTCATGTATACTGAACTAATTCTTAAGTACCTTTGAACTAAAGATTTTCTTAATAGACCAGAAATCCAGAATTCAATATTTGAGAAGTGAAATCTTAGGAATAGTAAGACTGTCCTGCTACCTCATCACATTTGATATTGCCCCAAAGTAATCCTTAGTTACATTTCCTTTCGACGATTGTAACTTACATCACAAATACAACATGTTTGTTTCTTAGATAACAAACCAAGTTAGAGTATCAATAGCTTACCCAAGGATTATAAAGCACAACTCCATCTTTGAGTCTCTAAATCAGGCTATATGCCCCCTGTGCATATAACTTATAGGGGACTGGATGGGGAGGGGAGAGATGCATCATGCTTTTCACGCTCATGTGAAAAGCTCTGCGTTCTGAAACTGTTATGATCCATGTTAGTGCTGTTAACGACGGCAGTGCGCAAGACAAATGTCTTGAACTCATGTCATATAGATAAATACTATATATAATATTTTCTGGTTTTGGGTTTCTCCCATCAGGATGGAGGCAGCCTTGTAGGAGAAGTAAATGAAGATGGGGAGATGACTGGAGAGAAGATAGCATATGTGTACCCTGATGAGAGGACTGCCCTGTATGGAAAATTCATTGATGGAGAGATGATAGAAGGGAAACTGGCTACTCTTCTGTCCACTGAAGAAGGAAGGCCTCACTTTGAACTGATGCCTGGAAGTAAGTTGAATCTGCTTCAGACGGGTTGCTCTAATTCCAAAACGGGTTGTTGCGGCTTAAGAGAAGTTAATTTCTTTGTCTAGTCTGGTGTATTAGCTTGGCTGCATAACAGATACCTCAGCATCTCAGTGGTTTACAACAGCAAACACAGATCTGCTAAGCAACTGTACTCGACTGGTCCAGGTGGGGCGTGGCCAGGCCAGGCTGGACCTGAGGCTTCTAGTCAGCTCTGAGTCTGTTCCATGTCTTCATTCTGGGCCCAATCTAAAGGGACAGTGGTGGCCTGGGTCAGTTTTCTCAGGTGGTCACAGGAAGCCAGAGCATGAGAAGACACCTATGATGCCTCTTAAAGCCTCAGCTTGGAACTGACACAAAGTCCCTTTCACCCTCTTTTCATTGGTCAAAGCAAGTCACATGGCCAAGGTGGACATCAGTGAGACAGGGTAATATACACCGTGCACTTTAGTGGCAGATGCTAAAAAGTCATCTGACAAGGGCATAGCTGTATAATTCTAACGCACAGGAGTGAAGAAATGACAGCAGTAATTTAATCAGTTTTAAATATTATATCTCAGGGAAAAAAACTTAACAGTTTAATGATTTAACTGATAAAGAATCAAATTAGGGCTTCCCTGGTGGCGCAGTGGTTGAGAGTCCGCCTGCCGATGTAGGGGACGCGGGTTCATGCCCTGATCAGGGAAGATCCCACATGCCGCGGAGCGGCTAGGCCCGTGAGCCATGGCCGCTGAGTCTGCGTGTCCAGAGCCTGTGCTCCACAACGGGAGAGGCCACAACAGTGAGAGGCCTGCGTACCGCAAAAAATAAAAAAAAAATTTAAAAAAAAAGAATCAAATTAGGTAGATCTCCAGGTTGGTACAGATTGTAATGCTGATTCAGCCTGAGCTCTGACTGGGAAAGATAAATGCACATTGGCACCCGGGCCCTCTTCAAAGTCTAGCATCTTCTTGGAAGGACATATTCCATACGTGAATGAGCCTATTGGAATCAATGATAGAAAACATCCTGTTTCCTTTTAGAAGTACAGAATGGCACACCAAACTTTTTTTCTGAGTATAAAATTATTTCTTGTAGTAAATCTGGAAAATATACAAAGAAAAAAATCAAGATTTTGTATTTTCAGTGGCACAATATTAAGAAAGCTAAATCGGTCTGATTCCTTGAAATGTGCATATATGTATTTCCAATCCAAGTTAAGCTATAAGGAGAATAAAGTAGAAAAGATAATACAGGAACTTCCCTGGTGGTCTAGTGGTTAAGTCTCCACACCGTCAATGCAGGGGGCCTGGTCAATCCCTGGTCCGGGAACTAGATCCCACATGCCGCAACTAAAGATCCCGAGTGCCGCAACTAAAGATCCTGAGTGCCTCAACTAAAGATCCTGCATGCGGCAACTAAGACCTGGCGCAGCCAAATAAATAAATAAATATTTTTTTTAAAAAAGAAAAGATAATATATTTAGGCATTGATAGGCCTAAATAATATTTAGCTGTTTGGATTGGAAGGAGATTCTCCAAAGGGTGGTAGTCCAAAAATAGGAAGCCTAGCACTTTACATTTAGGTCCAACTTGGGTTGTTATAAATGTCTCTGGTTTTGTTTTTTTAAGTTAAAAATTGAGGCATTTTAAATGCAATATGGGATTCTGGATAGGATCCTGGAACAGAAAAAGGACATTCGTGGAAAAACTGGTGAAATCTGAATAAAGTCTGGAGTTCAGTCAATACTAACGCAGCTATGTTGGTTTCTTAATTTGGACAAATGTACCATGTAACACAAGAAATTAACATTAGGAGAAGCAGTGAGGGGCATTGGGAACTCCTTGTACTATGTTTGCAACTTTTCTGTAAATTTACAATCATTCCAAAATGAAGGGTTTTTTAAGTGTAACAGTAATCTTTGAACTTCAAACTCTGATATCTGCACTCTTCACATCCATTCCAAAAGGAGACAGTGTTATAATGTTTAGAGATGAGGAGACTCCAGCTAGGGGAGGATCCCACTTGGTGATGCAGATTTTAAAAGTGGCAGCATTTGGAAGTGGCAGCATTTTTAGTGGCAAGAGTCTTGGACTTAAGAGTCACCTCATTTGAGTCTCAGTGCCAACATTTACTGTATTATGGTTTGGGGCAGGTTAGTTATCCTTTCAGAACTCGTTTTTTCATTATAAAATACAGATAGTGGCACCTACCATAAAGCCCCCATCAGGAAAGTTACTGTGGTTATTACATTCTTCTTAGTAAAAGTACGAAACACATTTTGGGAGGTGAGAGGGGAATGATGATTTTTCTTAGAACTCCTGGTTGCAAATAACAAACACCCTCTTCAGCCTAACTTAAGGCCGAAAACAGGAGGGGGGGTGGATTCATTGGCAATATTCTAGCAGGCCCCAGTTCTTTTAAGGATAGGTTGAACAATTTGGGCCTCAAAAGGGTCAGGAACCATAGCTGCTCTGGGTGACTGGGAGGCACCAGGCGCAGTCTTTACTCTGTGTTCTGCTCCTTTTGTTTCTCTCTCCTTCCTCTTCCAGTTACAGTGATTGAACCACTGACTGGCTGACAGATGAGGGCTTTCGGGTCATGTGGCCTCTGGTCCAGTGGTTGAGGGAGGGGAAGAGGGAAACAGAAATCGAGTATCTCACCTAAAATCCTCCTACAACCGCCTGCTCCTCCTTTTTTCTGTGCTTTTGGATCCACAAACTGCTCCTCTGTCTCCACCTCTTGCTGAGTTTCTCCTTGTGCCTCTGCCTGGAATTTCTTTTCTCCTCATCTCTTTGCCTCTTTCCGTAGGAATTCCATTTCCTGGCTAATGTCTATTCCATCTTTTTTTTTTTTTTTTTTTTTTTTAAACGCAGTTGTCAGCATCACCTGGATGTTTCTTAGAAATGCAGGCTGTCAGGCCCACTTTGGGACTATTAAATCAGAATTCCCATTTTTTTAATTTGATTTAAAAAAAATTTTATTGGAGTATAGTTGATTTACAATGTTGTGTTAGTTTCAGGTGTACAGCAAAGTGAATCAGTTATATATATACATGTATCCACTCTTTTTTAGATTCTTTTCCCATATAGGCCATTACAGAGGACTGAGTAGAGTTCCCTGTGCTATACAGTAGGCCCTTATTAGTTTTTATTTTTTTGGCTGCGTAGCTTGTGGGATCTTAGTTCCCCGACCAGGGATTGAACCTGGGCCCTAGCAGTGAAAGTGAGGAGTTCCAACCACTGGACCTCCAGGGAAGTCCCTGCCTATTCCATCTTTACAGCTTGGCTCACCTCTTAGAAGTAACGTTTGTCAAGTGAATGGATGAATTCTAGTCACAGGTCATAGTACCAACGATAGGGGAAAGGAGGAAAAGGAAAGGGTGCCTTCCGTTTGCCTGGAGCACAGGCCTGTCTAAGGGAGTAGAGGGAGGGACGGTATGCGTTGAAGCAGGTGCATCAGCTCCTTGAGGGCAGGAAGAGATGTGACTCCCACTGGTATCTGCACAGCCCCTAACACAGTGCTTTACGTGTGGTTGGCACTTAGTACATTTGTGAGGAAAGTATTAGTCTAAGGAAGGGAGATGGGAATTCATAGGAGAATTTCTGCACAATAGAATGTGTATTCCACAGAAATGTTTGGTTTGAAAGTGTTTTTTTCTTCTTTTTTTGAACTAACTTCCTTTAATGGGTTGTGTGCTGGTCCAGATGCATTCCTCAGCCTTTCCCTGCCCTGCTTTACTGCATGGGGCTTCTGCCCGTTGAAGGCTGCATTCCCCAGGCTCTTGTGCCTCTGGCTTCTGTCTGGCTTTGGCCACAGGCTGGGGACACGGAGAGGGACAGGAGCAGGGAGAAGCCCTCTCTGTGTCCAGCAGAGTCCCCAGCAGTGGCCTGTCTCCTGATTCCATCTCCCAGCAGGATGGTCCCCCACGGGTCCAGCTTCCCTGGACTCCCCCAGCTCTAGAGCTCCAG